TCTGGCAATACCTTCTTCAGCCTCAAAGACAACACTTTTGCAATGATCTTATACAAGCTATAAACCAAGCTAATTGGCCTAAAATCCTTCGGGTGGGATGCATCTTTCTTTTTTGGAATTAAGGCTATAAATGTAGAGTTCACACCCGGATTGACAATACCTCTCCTAAAAAACTCCTCAAACACCCGCAAGATATCATCTTTCAAAATATCCCAACAATCCTGATAAAAAGTCATTGTGAACCCATCCGGCCCTAGAGCTTTTGTTCTATCTATAGAAAACAAAGCCTCCTTGATCTCTTCTAAATTAAAGTTTCTTTCCAACCTTCTCCTGTTCTCCACCCCTACATCTGGCCAATCCAGACCTTCTACCCACACCCTTCTACTCACAGGCCTTCTTAGAATAAATTTGAAGTGCTCCACACAGGCCCTGGCAATCTCCTCTTGTTGTACTAACTCAACTCCATCTACTATTAATTTGGAAATAAAGTTCTTCCTCTCCAAATTCTCCCCTTTCCTCTTTAGAGTCAATGCTTTCAATCTTATCCATAAAGTCTCCCTTTCTTTCTTCTAGCCTCCCGAACTCCATCAAATTCCACTCCTTGATTCTTGCTTTCAGGAATTGTAGTTTCTTATGGAATCTCATCCCCTCCCACTCCACCACCGGGTTACACTCATGCCACCATTCCCTCACTTTGCATATAAATCAATCTTATACACTATAATGACTAAAAACATAGCCAACAAGAACATCCGTGGTATTATTTATCTTCCACAATTAAGTGAATATCATAACTAACAAGACCTAATGAATTGATAATTAACCATGACTGAAATATTCATTATAAAAGTGATGTAACACCGATAAATTTAAACAAAACCAACCTAACGGGATTATGGGAGACTGTGAACAATTCAAAACCAAATAGCATTGTAGAATAAAAACCAATCAATGATAACGAGATAAATAAATAAAACTAAGAAGAAGCTAAATAAGAAAGGAAATAATAATAAAAGGATAAGAAATATTTGAGAAGCAGAAACAAACCGATGTATATCCCAATGTGAGAATTGTAGTAGGATGTTGGGATGTGCCTTCAAATCTCCCCCTGAATGTGACAAAGGGCTGAAGCTATTGATTAAATTTCATGAGAGTGGGTCGGTGGACGGTGGTTACTCAGACGTTGAAAACGAATGGCAATGGGGCTTGTGACATTAAGCATCCGATGAGAGGAAGCAACAGCTCCTTTATTCAGTTGGGGTGGAGAGCAAACTAGCTTGCACTTCTAGCACGGGAGTTAGCCACAACAGAAATCTCTTCTTGCTTGATCTTATTGTCGGTGCTCTGCCATAGGTCAATCGTGGCGATGTAAACAGACCCCTTTGAAGGGAGAATACCAACTTGATGGATTTGATGAAGGTTGGATTGGGACTGTGCTTTACATATGGACTCAACAGGGAGAGAGGATGTTGACCTATGGAGGCATCACCATGAGTTATAGAGGAAGAGAATGGGGCAGAGGTTCGGTGGAGAAGACAAAAGAACAGGGGTTGGACTTAAACCAGTTATTCACAATTTTAACTGTCGATTTAGATACTTGCCTCGTAAATCGTAATAGCTCTCAACCGATGAAGCTCACATACACCTTACCTCTTTTCCCCGTAGAGGTTGAAAATCAAAGCTGCAACCGGTAATATGCCCTAGATTCACGATGCTGGGGACGAGAACTGTTGCTATTGTGGTCAAACCCGTGTATGCAGTACTGTGAAGGTGTCAAACTTAAACTCAGTTACTGCCATTATCAAGTTTCTGTTGCCGCTAATGGGTTCAAATGGAGAAGACAGTGATGGTGAACAGTGGAGTTCCGTGTTGGGGTAGAGAGTTAATGAAATCGGAGAGGTGGAGAGAAAAAATCAGAAAAAGAAAGAAAGAAAGAGAGAGGAAGAAGAAGTTGGGAAATGGGAGAATGAGAAGAGGTTCCTGAGAAGAGGTCGGGGGAGAAGAAGCCGCCGCTGTCGAGAGGTTGGAAGAGATCAAGGTGAACAGTCGCCCCCTCATAAAATAACTCGGATTAGGTTTTCGGTGCAAATGAGAGAAGCTGAATAGAGAGGGAAAGAGTTTCTGTGCGTGGGAAAGAATTTGCATCAATTATTTAACGGTCTTTCAAATTTTTATTTTCATTCAATCTCAGTCGTTTAATTGAATTCAATCTCAAACATTTATAAAGAAAATTTAAATTTATTTAATATAATTGTAGTAAGCCACTTTAGTCATTTAATTCTCTTAATGTTTTATTAGTTGTTTAATCGTTTATCATGGTTATTATATTTGATGAAGGATGATTTGGCCCGATCTAAGAGAAAGGGGACACGTGAACATGACCTGACCAAGAGATAACAGTTCAGCCCTACATGCCCAGTTCGCAACAGTTGAGCTCAGACTCCCAACCAGTTTGCCATTAAGTCACCTCGGTCCCAAAGCACTTCGGCATTTAGTCCAGTTCGAAACTAAAAAGTATCAGCTCGGGGATACTGATCCAAACCACTACGTGGCAACCCCGGAAATCTCTCCAATAGACCCCGAACCTCGTGGGATCACGCCGCATAACGGCAAGCCTTATCTCCTCCCCGTCCAATTAGGGAGGAATTGATAAGCCTTATCAGTTGGTAACATTATCCTCTAATTAAAACGGAAACGGATCCCACTGTGACGAAGATCTCAGAACCGATCCGCAAAACCCACGAGTACTCAGCTATATAAAGGCTCCAACCCCGAGGGCATAAGGTACGCGTGATTTCTCTGCTCTCTAGCTCTCTAGCTCTTTATATTCCCAAAAAACTATTTCAGCTCGCAACAATCTTACTAACTTAAGCATCGGAGCGACCTTGCCGAGCTAGCCACCCCGGGTTCTCTGATCTTATTTTGCAGATCCACCTAGCTCGCCGTCCGACTAGAAGCCAGATCATCCTCCAGCAGGGAGCAGTTAGATCGCGCTACATCAATATTATTTCAGCAATAATTAATAGTTTTTGTTAATTATTTAATTATTTGATCATTCTATCATTTATCTATTTAACAATTTCATTGAATATTTTATTTTATTATTTTATTAATTATTTAATTATATTTTAAATTTTTTAATTATTAAATTATTTTTACTAGTCATTTAATAAAATTTTTTAACTACAAATTTCTAGTGGTTTTCATTCAATTGGTTCGATTCAATTTGGTTAAAACTAAGAACCTAACATTTTCAAAAAAAAAAAAACAAAAGCTAAGAACACCTAACTAGCATTTCAATTTATCCATTCTTATGAACCGGATTGAACCGAACTAGATGTCATAACCAAACTGAATTTAATATAGTTTGGTTCAGTTTTTGGTTCAATTTGGACCCAATTATATTAGTTTTATAAACTTGTGAATAATATATTATTATTACGTATAATAATATATATTGCTATTTATAAACTTATTATATATATATATATATATATATATATATAAATATATATATGTGTGTGTGTGTGTGTGTAAAGTGTTTAGCATGCTTGCAACCCCAACCCTGGTGGCAACAGAATTTGATCATAGGTCTTTGCTACAACAACTAGAGATCCTACCAACTAAGCCACCATCAAACCAAAAGTCAAATAAATCAAACTAAATTTGATTATTTAGTTTGGTTCAATTTGGTTTTCATTTCGGTAACCAAATTTGAGTACCCCTATCTTTCATTGCTTGTGGCATGACATATGCTTTTTGAGATGGAAAATGAAACACCAAATATGCCATGACTCATGCCATTGGTTGTAGTGTGTTTATTGTCTCTATGTCATCAGTGAATAAAGGTCAATGGGGATGGTTGGTCATTAGTGTTATAGACTGAACATTAGATTTTGGTCACTATGACCTGAATAAGATAATGTCGCAACACAAAAAGGTTTCACTAAGAGGGGAGAAGAGAAGAAATATGACTATTGGGTTGGGTTTGAATCGGTTCAAGACTAGGTGGAACCAGTTCCAAACCGATAATAATCGAGACAATATATTTGGAACCAGAGTCAACTCATTGGTTTCGATTCCTAGAACCATAACCAACCTAATCAATTCATGAACATTGGATTCATTGGGTTGAACCTAACTCATTGAATGCCCTATTTCTATAATATACATATAGTTAAATATATGTGGGTCAAGTTAATCCCAAGGCAGGTTTTAAGTATTAAGCCTATGCCCAACCCTAAAAATTGTGGCTCTAATGAGGGCCCAAGCCTCGGCCAGGGCTTAAACACAAAATCTAGGTCAAAGAGCAAAATTTTCCAACTCACTAAAATGATCACCCTTGTTTTATGGCAAAAATAGCAAGGTAAGGTGCCTTAGTACTTTAAAACACATAGGTAGCAAAAAAGTTATCCAAGACCAATTCATTAGTTCTTGGGTTAGACCAGTTTGGTGGATGGCTTTGGCTTCTTTTTTTTTTTTTGGGTGTG